AGTTTTAGGAGAAACACCACCATGTTAGACTAAAAAGAACAGAGACATTTCAAAATGAAAAGACAGCTCAAGGTCCCGAATAATAGATGAGCAGGAAGTAGGCTGAGTGAGCTATTCAGCGGCAAATGTGGGCCATTCTTATGGAAAAGAAATTGATGATTCAGAGAGTAGAATCTATATACCACACTGCAAAATAAGAATTACTTAATTTTGGATTAGGAAATCATTCACAGGGAGCAAAACTAGACCTCAAAGTACATACCCCACCCTGAAACTCAGAACTGGTACCGTGTGTCTAGTTGGATTTCAGGACTGCTCTCAATTATGTGCCTTCTGTTTTCCCCCTATTTGAATAATAGAGTCTATTGCAATCATCCTATCCTTTTCTCAATACTATGTGTTAAGTATGTGTTGGAGGGATGGGGTAGGGATAACTTGCCACTTTATAGATAACAGATCTCCAGATCAAGAAGAGCTGTGCCAAGACCCCACATTCAGATCTGGTGCCGTATCTAGACTTGGTACAGAAGATGAAAAGATCCTAGACTTTAGATAAAACTAAAATGTAATGAAATTTTAGAAAGAAGGTGTGAGTACATTTTGCCTGTGGAAGAAATATTAACATATGACTAGAGGAAAGATTATCACAGACTATTTCCAAAAATGACTGTTGGACCCTGGCTCACGGGTGCCAGCGTGTCCCGGTGGACGCCCCAGAGACTCAGACCCCAGACAGGCAGATGCAATTAGCAAGAGGGTTTATTGAACGTTTGCGCAAACGGGCTCTCTGCCTCCCAGGAGGAAAAGAGTCCCGATTAGCAATTACAGGGATCTTTTAAAGGCAAAAGGAAAGAAACCGCCTAAAGACCAAAGAACCGCGGGAGTCGCATAGCATCCAGGTTGATTTCACAGAAGGTCAACATGAACCTATTCAGGGACATTCCAATCAGGGTGTGGGGGGAAATGGTTTTCTTATTGTAAACAGAATGCTTTTAGTTGCTAAAATTTCAGGAAGGCGCCTGGATGGGCTGCCTCTGGATTAGGGCTGGCCCTACTTACAAGGGGGGAGGTTTCTTCAATGACATTCTATAATTTGTCCCACTTCATGTATATATTCTACTTCTCTCATCAAGACTGACTGTTTTCCCTCCTTTTGAGTCTGGGCTAGCCCCTAACCAATAAAATGCCATGGAAATTATGTTCTCAGGCTTCAGAGCTCAGATCATAAGAGGTCTGGCAGCTCCTACTTTTGTTTGACCTCTTAGATTCCAGCTGCCATTGGAAGGATGCTTGGGCTTGACTGCTAAATGATGAGTAATGCCATGAGAAAGATTCAGTCCCTAGCCATTCCACCAACCACCAGACATCTGAGGAAGCCATCTTGAACGTTCCACAGCTGAATGACGCACATCAGTGACCCAGCTGATACAACACAGAACAGAGGAATCATCCCACTGGACCCAGCCAACCCCCAAATCAAAGAGAAATAATTATTGATGTGCTAATCCTCTAAATGTTGGCGCAGCTAGTTATAAAATAATAGAAAACTGAAACAAAAATATACATTTGACCACAAAGAAAACCTTTAAAACTCCCAGATAGTAAAGATTTTTTGGTCTTATTTTCTGATGTTAATTCCAGAAAAAGGTAAACCGAAAATGAAAAGGTAAACTAAAAACACGTTTTTGAAACAACAAAAAAACTTGTAACACCTATAAAATTCAATATTTGATGAAAAATGTATAGCTTGGATAGTGTTTATTGTTATTAAACAAACACAAAAGTAAATAAATTACATATAACAACTAAGGCAGATCTGAAAAGGAATTAAAAATGAAGAAAAAGAGGGAAAAGAAATTAATAAAGATTAAAGTAGAAAACAGTAACAGCAAAAAGTAAAATAGAACCATTACATAAAACCTAAAATCAGTTAGTTGAAAGCACCAGCAATATATAATCCCCTGACAAACCTGATTGAAAGGAAAGCAACAAAAAATAAAAACTTTTATAAATGAAAAATAAATGGAATGAGATATAGAAAAAAGAAAATAAAAGGAATCCTAAGATAGCATAATGTAAAATTCTAACCAATGTTTTTGAAAAGCCATTAAAAATGGATGAATCTATATTAAAATATAAATTACCAAAGTAGATGCACCACCAATAATCTCAAAAGGAATTGGAAAAGTGGTAAAAGAACTACCATTTAAAAAAAAGGCTCCTAGGGATCCCTGGGTGGCACAGCGGTTTGGCGCCTGCCTTTGGCCCAGGGCGCGATCCTGGAGACCCGGGATCGAATCCCATGTCGGGCACCCGGTGCGTGGAGCCTGCTTTTCCCTCTGCCTGTGTCTCTGCCTCTCTCTCTCTCTCTGTGTGTATCATAAATAAATTTAAAAATAAATAAATAAATAAAATGTCTTTGAAAAAAAATTAAAAAATAAAAAAATAAAAAAAAGGCTCCTAAATGCTTTTACAGTCAAGTTCTATATAATCTTCAAATTACGTCTCACTTATTTTAAAAAGTCCTTCTTAAATTCTGACTAGAAATGCATTACTTTTGTTATATTAATTAGAAAGGATCAATATTTTTATAAAATTAAATCTTCCCATTTGGCAATACTAAAATTTAGATTATAAGAAATACTGTTTACAATTCCATCTTAATAAATTCATATAACTTAAAATTAACTAATTTATCACTGAGTTAATTTCAAAACACTCTAACTGTTCTTCCTGACTGCAAAATCCAATCTCTACCCCAAAAATTTATCTTTCATAAAGCTGGCATAGTAATCTTAATTAAAAATACCAAATGGATCACTCTTAATATTCTTCAATAAATCCCCATTTCTTACTCAAAATATAAATTAGGCTTACTACTACTCTTCTCCTTAATCCAAAAATCCTATCATATTCAAGCACTTGAATTCCTCTGAATAGTCTCTTTTCCCTCAAGTCTTTGTCTTTATACATCTTATTTCTAAATAGAAATACTTCCTGTTTTCTAATACCATATTCTCAGTTACTACATCATAATTCTCCTTTCATATTGTATTTATTATGGTGGAATTAGTCAGGGACATTATGCCCCAACTATGTGCTAACATACTATAGCTTTGAAATTAATATGTCTTGTCAATTACATCTCAATTTTTTAAAATAAATTCCTTAGAAAACTTAGATTTTAAAAATTCAATATTTTTATCAAGTCTGCACCTTCTATATTATGATATGTTCAACTATAATTTATTCAAGTACATATAGAATGCAATTATAGTTTATATTTGTATTAAAGACTTCATATCCTTAATACTTAAAAGTAAGTAGTAAGTAGTTTTAACAAAAAGACTTCTTGGCATTGCACATAGAAAAAACTAAGTGAATTTTCTGTAAATTTTAAAAGTTGATGATCCTTGAAAAGAAACAATAAATGGGGAGTTCACATTTGAATTTATGCTCTTAGTCATTTTAGCCTCACCAAAAAATAGAGAGGATCCCTGGGCTATCCAATCCAACCAGAATGCATTTTATAACTCTTCAAATCTGGTCAAGTTATTTAATATCTCTGAGTTTCCTCCTCTAAAAATGGAATACAGTAGTCTCCCCTCATCCTTGGTTTTGCTTTCTGCAATTTCAGTTACCTATGCTCAACCACAGTCTGAAAGCAGTTGACTAATAGTCAGAAGATGAATAGTAAGTAGCTGAATGCTACAGCAAAATGCCTACGTATTTCACCTCACTTTATCTCATTAGGTATGCATTTTATCATCTCACATCATCATAAGAAGATGGAGGAGTACAGTACAATAAGATTTTCAGAGAAATCACATTCATATAACTTTTATTGCAGTATATTATTATAATTGTTCTTTTATTATTGTTATTCTTAAATAAAAGTAACTTACCGTATTAACTTATTACTAAATTTATCATAAATATTAAATTTTATCATAGGTATATATATATATATATATATATATATATATATATATATGAAAAAGCACAGAATATACAGGGTTTGGAACTACCCACAGTTTCAGGGATCTCCTGAAGGCCTTGGAATGTATCCCTATGGATAAGGGATACAATGAGTTACTAGAATAGAGTCTACCCAACACCTTGATTGCATTTAGTGAGCACAGGACATAGCTAAGCCAGCACAGCCTCCTAACACACTCAAACTGTGAGACAACACAAGTTGTTTTAAAAACTGAAAAATTTATGGTAACTTGTTATGCAGAAATTGAAAACTAAAACCATAAAGTGGAATATTTTATTTTATATTCAAAATCTCAAGTGTAGTACTTTCATTTTCTTCCCTAATTTGTTACCTGACTCTTAAACCACTCAGGTTGACATTTGTGGGATGCTTACCCCAGCCACTCACTGAAATGAGTAGTATAATGCTCTGGTGGTTACTTTAAAAAGTAAACTTATAGCAAAAAAAAGTATTCCAAAGCCAAGATGAAATAAAGTTTACTTACCTTTCATTGCATCACATAAAAAAGAGTGGGCTCTATAGTTCACAATTACTGAAAAGCTTTTTCTTATTTGATTTTTACACCTCTTCTACCTTTCTGAGATAGAAAAGATACTGTTTTGCCCATTTTAGTGATAGAAAATATAAAGCTCAAGTAAGTTAAAGGGACTTGTCCATAGTCACAGAACTTAGTAAGATCCTGTTATGACTCCCAATATGATCTTTCCTCCATGATATTTCCTGTTGTTGAGTAAACTATGGTAAGTTTCATAATCTTGACAGTAAACATGTTTGTATTTACCATATTATTTTCTGAAACTTACTGAGAAAAGTCAACCAACAAAAAAGAAGTATCTTAGAAATAACTTTAATAAAAAAATAACTTTAATACATACATACACACAAATATACACGCATACAGACACACATCCCTATTTCACATGCATACTAATGTTTACACATATAATTATCACAGCATATACTAAATTAAACTTATATCCATAGAGAGAATGTGTGTTACCTGGACTTGAGTCAAATCTCCTTTTATTTTAAGCTCTTTGACTACAGACTTCTTCCTGTTATTAAAAAGGTTTTTAAATACATCGTGATATTTTAAATTGCATGACTACTTTGCTTTCTTGAATAGTACTTAAACCATTTTTAAATAAATTTCTCCAAAAAATTCATATTTTTAAGAATCATAAATCCACATAAATGATAATTGAATAACATTTCTTAAACTAATTTTTCATTGGTATGATTAAAATATGGGAGTGAGATAAAGCAAGGAGTCTCAAAGTACATTGATCATTTTTTCCTCTCTGGTCATCTTAAGTTTTCATTTAAATTCCAGTTAGTTAATGTACAATGTAATATTAGTTTCAGGAGTATAATACAGTAATTCAACACTTCCATACATCATTCAGTGCTCATCATAGTGCACTCCTTAATTCCTATCACCTATTTAACCCAACCCTCCCCCAACCTCCCCTCTGGTAACCATCAGTTTGTTCTCTATAGTTAAAAGTCTGTTTCTTGGTTTGCCAACAACACAAGAAACAACAGGTGTTGGCAAGGGTATGGAGAAAGGGGAATTCTCTTACACTATTGGTAGAAATGCAAACTGATGCAGCCACTCTGGAAAACAGTATGGAGGTTCCTCAAAAAGTTAAAAATAGAACAATTGCTACAATTCAGCAATTTCACTGCTAGATATTTGCCTAAAGAATACAAAAATACTAATTCAAACTGATACATTGTAGCAGCATTATCTACAAATGGCTAAATTATGGAAACAGCCCAAGTGTCCATTGACTGATGAATGGATAAAGAAGATGTGATGTGTTTGTATATACATATATACAAGTACACTTGTAATGAGTACTGGGTGTTGTATGGAAGTGTTGAATCACTGTATTGTATTCCTGAAACTAATATTACATTGTATATTAACTAACTAGAATTTAAATAAAAACCCAAGATGACGAGAGGAAAAAATGATCAATGTACTTTGAAAATCCTTACTTTATCTCACTTCCACATTTTAATCATATCAATGAGAAATTAGCTTGAGAAATATTATTCAACATTTACATACACACACACACACTGGAATATGCACTGGAATATTACTCAGCCATTTTTTAAAGATTTTATTTATTGATTGATGATAGACAGATAGAGGCAGAGACATAGGCAGAGGGAGGCTCCAATGCAGGCAGCCCAATGTGGGACTCGATCTTGAGACTCTGGGATCACACCCTTAGCCAAAAGCAGACACTCAATGGCTGAGCCACCCAGGTGTTCCTACTCAGCCATTAAAAAAAAATGAAATCTTACCGTTTGTAACAATGTGGATGGAGCTAGAGAATATTACACTAAGTGAAATAAGTCAGAGAAAGACAAATACCATAAGATTGCACTCATATGTGGAATTTAAGAAACAAAACAAATAAGCAAAAGGAAAAAAATAGTGGTCATCTTTCTTTTTCTGAGACAAAGGACAAGGCTGTTTGTCCACTGAATTTCTTTTCAGAATGTGTGAAACTCTATAAAGATTGAATTCACATTCTTTTTAAAATTAAATATTAGGGTTTGACTAAAACAAATTCAAAATGCAAAAAAAAATATTTTATATTTCTAGAGAAAATATTCACTTAATATGACATTACAATAATCCACATGGATAAAAATAATTGATTTTATAAAATAAGTATAATCAAGAAGTACAGTTAAAAAAAAAAAAAACAGCCAGAGGAGTTAATTTGCAAACCACAAACATTAGCCAAACCATCAAGGAAACAATGTAAATCCTTTTGTTCCTAAAATGATTTTCAGATGTAATTGTTTACTTGTTCCTGAAAATCTTATGCTTCATTCTCTTCTTCTAATTCACCTTTAGTTCTTTGTTCTTCCCTTCTTAGCCCTCATCCATCATCATATCCCAGTCAGCTTATAAAAATATGTTTAATGTAGTGTTATATTTTTTAGAAAATGTTAATAAGTTATATTTAGGTGACCTCAAATTGTATAAAAAGAAAACATACATTAATAAGGAAAAATATTAACATGTAGCTTTCTGTCTTACTCTTCTGAATTCTCAGGTTTTCCTTTGTCTTTTTTCTTCTCAGTTTTTATAGTTTTCTTTGTCTGATCATATGTAGACTTTGTCTTCTGTGTAATTTTATAGAAGCCAAAAATAAATAGTTAATGAGATAATATATTAGAAGGAAATAAAACATAATATACATTACAAGGTTTTTTATTTTACTACACTTGATGTTTCAAGGAAACATTTCACTACACTTGATGTTTCAAGGAAAGTTATCTAAACAGAAGCAAAAGAAAATTAAAGATACAGTCAGAATGTTTCTTATCATGATCAATTGAATATAAATTGTATATAAGCTAATACATATAAAAAAAATAAATTCCCCTGACAAATCACAGCCAGTTCTATAATATAACTTATGCCTTCCTAAAAATCATCTAACTATGAAAATCATGCACTAAACACTTCAGGACATATGTGAAAAATGAAGTGAGGTGCCCAGCATCCAAAAAACATGGCCAATGATACATTTTTTAAAAAGAGAAACATAAAAAACAGTTCTGTTTTACACAGTTAAATGATTTAAGAAACACATAGTATGATAAATATAGCTAGCTCTTTATCTTGAGGAAGACTTGAAGCTTATTTGTGCAAATGAGCACTAAACAGGTTGCAACTTGTTATTGGGCAGTTTTGGTAGAAGGGTTATCTGAAATTGGATGAAAAACTGTAACAGATTGTGGACTGGTGTGGTACACTACAAACATGGTGATTCAAGATAGGGTATATAGTCAATTTTACCTAGTACACTTTGCAGATGAAATTGTGCATAAACACATGAAAAAATTCATATTATGTCTAAATTGTATTGGAATAAATTTGCATTTCAAAGCAAATATAGCAGAACTAACTATATATTTTAAAGTATTCTTGAACTACTATGTAGTACCAGATTATTTTATACAAGAAATTGAGAAAAAACTTAGCAATTAGCTTATTGAAACTTTTGGATGGCCTTATTAAGAGACCTATTAAGGCATGCATTAGGTGTTTATTTCCTGTTTTAGAACACAGCTCCCAAAAGACACAAATTCACTAGTGGCAGTTCTCATGAGTTAAACAAAAGTTTATTTTATTTCTTCATAAAATATGAAAAATAAGTATAATAATGAATTTTTAATGAAAATTGTTAAGGTCCCCAAATAACTTTCTAGTTTCAATATGAGTTTTGGGATATATTCCCTATACAGAATAACCTAATATACATTGGAAAAGCCTAATATATACTGACAATCAAAAAATACTTTAAAAATGAAAAGGAAAAAGCCTAAAAATAGTGAAGAGATCATCAGTGAGTTGTGAAAAAACTTTAAGTGACAAATATGCTTGTAATTGCAGTACATGATGGAGGAAAGGAAAGAAAGTAAATATTTGAAGAAATAACAGCCAAATTTTATTTTCAAACTTGACAAAACCTCCTGGTGTCTAGTGGTAGGATTCGGCGCTCTCAACTTGACAAACCTTATACCACAAATCCACAAAATATAAGGAAGACTACCTCCAAGACATATAATAAAATTATTAAAAGCAGTAATATGGATAAAAATCTTAGAAGACAGAGGAGGAAAGTAGATTATATACAAGGATAAAATGGACAGCAGATTTCTTTTTAGAAACAAAGCAAGTCAGAAGACAAAAGAGAAACACCTTTAAATACTAGAAGAAAAAGAGACAGTCAAACCTAGATTTCTCTATTCAGAGAAAATATCTTTCAAAACTGAAGGAAAAAATTTTTTTTCAGAAGTCAAAAATTTGAAAAAATACATCAGCTGCAGACCTGAACATAAAAAAATTATGAAGAATCCTTCAAGTACAAGGAAAAATGATACTAGACAGAAATAAGAAAATATACAAACTTAAGACCAACAGAAATGATAATTAAATGAGAAAATATAAAGACTTTTCTTTTTTTTTTTTAATTTTTTTATTTATTTATGATAGGCACACAGTGAGAGAGAGAGAAAGACAGAGACACAGGCAGAGGGAGAAGCAGGCTCCATGCACCGGGAGCCTGACGTGGGATTCGATCCCGGGTCTCCAGGATCGCGCCCTGGGCCAAAGGCAGGCGCCAAACCGCTGCGCCACCCAGGGATCCCAAGACTTTTCTTATATAAAAGGTAATAGTTTACAGCTAAAATAATGAAAATGTGTTGTCCCATTTATATCATAGGTTGTAAGATGTATGAAAATGATAGCACAAAGGCTGGAAAAGGACAAATAAAAGTACATTATCTTAAGGCTCTTAGTGATTGCATTTTTTTAAGATTTTATTTATTTATTTATTTTAGACAGAGATAGTGTGAGCAGGGCCAGAGGCAGAGGCAGAGACAATCTCAAGCAAACTTTATCTCAGTACAGAGCCCAAGGTGGGGGCTGGATCTCACAACCCTGAGATCATGACCTCAGTGGAAATCAAAAGTTGGACACTTAACCTACTGAGCCACCCTGGTTCTTAAGTGATTTCATATTACTTGAATATAAACTGTAATAATTTAAAACAATACTGTAAGCACTTTACTGTAAAGCAACCAATAAAGCAACCAATTGAGCAGCAAATACAAAAGTATAAAGATTTTATTACCTGGAAGTGGGGTACTTTTGTAACATACAACTTAAAATGCAGAATTGGCTTCAGAATTGTACAGTAGGCAGAAGCTGAAAGAATTTTATGGAGTATGAAAAAAACTTAGCAAATTATGAAAAGAAGAAAAATAACCTAGAGAAAGAGGCAGGCACAGGCATGCTGGCTGACCACAGAACCAAGAAATTCCCCTTAAAATCAGGAACAAATGAAAAATACATACTCTCATCATGTCTATTCAGTATCATTCCAGAGGTCTTTACTAGTGCAACAAGGCAGGAAAAAGAAATAGCATCACAAATTGGAAACCAAGAAAATTTAGGCTATTATAATTCATACATACTTTGACTTTGCAAGTAGGAAATAAAAAGATAATCATTATGACAGTATAGATAGGTTTGTGGGTGCAAAATTAAATACACAAAAATTTATTACAATTCTCAATGATAGTTTTAAAATATCTTTTAAAAGACAGCAATTAAAATAACAAAGAAATATCTAAGATTAACAAAATGAATTTTATGAAGGTAATCATAGACATTGTAAGGATTAAAGAAAATCATCAAAAATGGAAGCAATTAATATTTATAAACAAATAGGTATATCATGATATCCTAGATGTAAATCTCTATCATTTGGTGTACAGATTCAGCACAATTGCATAATTTGACAAGTTAACTCTAAAATTTATAAGCAAATGGAAAGACCAAAAGTAAATAAATTCTTATAAATTGCAAGGTGGGTTGACTTGTCTTATAAAATATCAAGACCTGTTATAAATCTCTAGTCATTAAGGACCTCAGGCATTAGCTTAGGACTAGACAAGGCTAATGGGACAGAACAGAAAGCAGAAACAAATCTTTAAGCAGTGACATTTTCTAGAAACAGCATACCAAAATATACACGCCTAGGAGATCCTATTTAGGAAGCTATTATAGAAAGCCAGGTGTTAGCCAAAATGAAATAAATAAGGAAACAGTAAACCATAGGCCAAATGTGCCTTGTGGCCTTTTTTTGTAAATAAAGTTTTATTGCAACATAGCCATGCTCATTTATTTATGACTATTTTCATACTATGGAAGGGGACTTAAGATGCAACATAGGCTGTATGGCCTACAAAACCTAAAATACTTATCTACTGATATCTGGAGTAACAAAATAGATAATTTAAGTAATCAGGGAAAAACTATTAAGTACAGTAGACACCAGATATTTGTGCCCAGTATTTCTTCTTCCCTTTTGTTAAGAAACAACACCACATTCTAGGACAGTTCTGCACCTCCCTCATCTCAAACTGTCCTGGTAACATTTGACCTAATAAGCAAAGTCAAATAGATCCAATCACCTAAAAATTGACTACTATGGAAAGGAAGCGGTTAGGGCCAAGTATTTCCAGAGTCAGTATCCAAAGGGATGGAGGGGAAATACCCATAAGCTCTCACTCTAAAAGTTCTCTGAAAAGATAGAAGCAGTAGCGGTCTCTAAACTTCTATTATTTTTGATTCCAAGAGCTTTCCTGGTTCTATCCCTCACCAAACATATTGTTCACTTTTCCTTCAATTCTTTGAATTATCTTAATATCCACCCAATAAATGTTTTGCTTTAGCTAGGGTCAGTTTCTTCTGCTTGCAAAAAGAGTAAATAAAACCTTTATGTGACATCTAGGAAACTACTGATTAAGATTTGGCACACAAGGATAGGAATCAAATGTAGCTTTTATGAAAATTGAGTGAATACACCTAAATAGACAATATTCCAAAGAAGACACACAGATGGCCAGGAGGCACATGAAAAGATGCTTAACATCACTCATCATCAGGCAAATGCAAATCAAAACCACAATGAGATATCATCTCACACAGGTCAGAATGGCTAAAATCAAAAACACAATAACAAGTGCTGGTGAGGAGTTTGAAAGGTGACCAGGATTGACTGGTATAAAGCCCAGAGAGTATTGCTCTACTCCTAGAGAAAAGGGAGGCAAATAACCCAGGGACAGATGGTGTGGAAACAGCAATCTGAAGAATGCCTGGGGGCAGCATTCCCAGAGATGCCTCTCTAGGGATAAAGGAGCTGGCCAGCACCATTTCTTTCCCCCAACCCTCAGCATAAATATGGAACCACCTGAGGTAAGTAGCACTACACCAACACCAGCTGCCTAACCTGTTTACACCAAATACTACACCCCTGTGTTATGGCACTACTGCCCTTCTCCATCAAGCTTGCCTCAGTCTCCGCAGAGCTGGCCTCCCCCTGAGAAGACCAGCAGAAACCCCTTCTCCCAATCAGAGAGTTTCTCAGGGCTTCAGTTCTACCAGAAGTAGTATCAGCTCTCAAATAACAAGCATACCAGAGCATGCCTCATTAAAAGTCACCACATTAGAACCATATGATCATCTCAATAGATGCAGAGAAAGCATTTGACAAAATACAGCATGGATTCCTGATCAAAACTCTTCAGAGTGTAGGTATAGAGGGAAC